ACGACACTTTTGTAAGTAGAGTAAAATTATTTGTTTTCGGTTTGCATGAAGGTGTTATTGTGTTACTCATGAGAGAATGGAAGCACCTTATGGGTGGTTCAAATAATAGATGAAGGGATGAATTTTGATTCATGAAAAAGGGTCGTTAAAGTCTAAAAGTAAGCGGACTGCCTAATCACTGGTTCGCTTTACAATTGACGGTGACACAAATAACCAAGTTTACATTTCTAGAAAACATATATTTTTATTATCATTTACTTAAGTGTTTCCTATTGAGTATTACTTGTGATACTCACTCCTACAAAATTTACAAGTTAATTGAAGGCATGGCAAGGGTTTGGCATGGTGGCAAGTGCTCGACGATTTGAAATGCTTTGAACTTTTAGTAAAATTTTCATACGTGTAAATCTCTTATGAATCCTTAGACGATGCTTTTAAAATGTTTAATTTTCTGTTTTCGTCTAGTTTTACATATATTGCATGTCAACTATAATTTAGGNTTTACATATATTGCATGTCAACTATAATTTAGAAACGTTGCAATGGCTACGCATGAAAGTTATTTATTACTGGATTGAATTTTAGATTATATCCTTCTATTTGAAAGTGGTAAAACTTGGGCTACGGTACATGTTTTAGAGTGAAATTAGTGGGGTTTCAAATGTCTATGAGTCTTCTAATAGTAATCTTTGGAATTTTCCTAAAATATAATCTAGAGAAAAAGTTATGTCCATTTTGGTAGACTGCTTCGAGTGAGTTCCAAATTTTCTGTCCAGCATAGTCAAACAATATTTTCATATTTCAAAAATTATCATCGTGACCCCAATTTTTATATGATGTACGTATATGAATGTTATAGTTCCTGTTAAAATTTCATAATTTTTCATCAACGTTTGCTAGGTCAAATATATTTTTCTTTCCGCTGTTGTATAACGGTAATTGCTGAAATTCCTCCAATGTTTTCCAAAATTTTTCTTATTTACAATTTCTTTTGGTTAGCATTAAAGAGGTCAAACA